CTACACTCCAGACACTACCACCTCATGGGATGTCCCGCTCCATGTACCTAAAGATCTCCAGGTTCAATCATATGACGACCCACATAAGAATCCTGGCACTCTACATTGAAGTCATCCTCAAACATATTAATATCAGAGTTAAAAATAGGAGTAGGTTGTTTGGTACCTTAACCCTGCTCAGCCATATGAAAAGGTCATAGCTGATAGTAACTTCAACTCCACATTCCTGACTACCCCCGATACCCTTTCACCCCTTTGCCTCCCATGAATTTATTTCTAAATGATGATTCCTAACTTAGTTGCTCCCACAAGAGGAAATATCCTCCTCATGCCACACTGTCACAGCCCCTCAGGAATGAATCAAGGGACTGGCGACAACAATGATGCAGACACAGTACTAACTCACGCAAATCCAAGCCTCCACCCATCACCTTTTGCTCTTACACCTTCCTGTTTTCTCACTGTTCACTTGACTGTAACTGTTTTCTGAATTCTTAGAAAGAATTTTGGATTTCCAATTTAGTAATTGCTTGTGTGTTTATAAGAATTACACCAGACAGGTATTCTTTAGTCAAAAATACAAGCGACTGGCTTTATTCCTAGGTTTAAAAAAAAAATTCTAATTTTCCAAAATGCACACAAATGTATATGCTCTGCACACATGCAAAGAAGTACCACTTTATGCAGTATCAAATGTTAGCCATGAAAAATACAGAAAAAAAACTCAGTCAATTATGATCCATTAACTGCATTTGAATATTTGGGTTCTCACCGAGGCAATGCTTTACAGTTGTGGCTGATGTATTTCCTTTCCTTTTAGAAACAGTGTCACAGAAATTCCAATGACCCATAGTAGAAAGTCTCTGTTATAGGCCCATAGATGCTTCTTACAGCAAAGTAGCATTCAGGATTTAGATGGACTATTGCAGGAAGGAATGGAGGGAGCTGCTCATTCTTCCATCATGTGGTACTCTGATCCAATTCAACCATCTGCACAAACGTTTGTAACATCTCTCCAACTCAATTATATATTTCATATCTTACTTTTAGTCATTGTTTCAGAGCTGTTTATAAATGTGCCAGCCGCTAACTACTGAATAATTTATCTTCCAACCTGATGATAGGAATGAGTTGTTCATACATTGATTGTCTGTGCTGACATCTCCATGGAGTTTGTGTCTTCATGGAACAGAACATGACTCCATGGATGCAAATTAGCAGCTACTTCAGGTCAGTGTCCTTTATTTATCAAAAAGATTCTTTGGTTTTAAAAAAAAGTGCAGTATAGATATGACCAATTGCTGAAATTACAAATTAATATTCTTACAACATATTTTTGGAACATGAGAACAGACAAATCTCTGGACCCAAGATGAGTTGAAATAAAATAAAGTTCTGAATATTAATTACAGAGTTAACTAAACAAAAAGTTCCATTTATGTAAACCCATTCAATATGTTAAAATTTCATGAAATTAAACAAAAACCAAAACAAACTGTGGATGCTGTAAATCAGGAACAAAAACAGATGTTGCTGGAAAAGAGATAGTAGGAACTACAGATGCTGGAGAATCTGAGATAACAAG